GAACCTTTCACATCCCTTTGAAAAACTGCAACCAACGGGGGGGTGGGGCACAGAGTTAGGGTCTGGCCGCCTTTCCAGTCCAGTTTCTATTTTCTGAGCCTAAGGAACACCTAATTCCTCAAAGGGCCTGCGTTTCTGGTCATTTAAAAATAACCTGACCACACATACCTTTCAAAGTACAAGGATAGAGCATGGACCTATGAACCAGGAGGTCACGGTTTGATTCCCGGTCAGGGCACATGCCGGGGTTGCAGGATCGATCTCCAGTGTGGGGCGTGTAGGAGGCAGTTGATCCATGATTCTCTCTCATCATTGATTTCTCTCTCCCCCTCTCCTTTCCTCTCTGAAATCAATAAAATACCTTAAAACAAAACACAACACAAAGCACAAGTGTATTGTCATGCACCCCAGGATTACCTTTTCACTGGGCCAAGTAAGCATGCCCTGAGGGTCTTTCAAATACTGTGGTCTGAAGCATTGCTGCTGGTGGTGAAACAGCACCAGAGATAATCCTTAGGAGCCAACGCCATCTTTCCCAGTAAAAATGCCTACAAAATTAATTCCTCTATAACTGACTAACTCGGGGCAAAGACCAAGGCCTAATAAGGAAATGGTTTTCTAGCCTTGCTGGTGTGTGCCAGCCCCAAGACTAACACAATTTCTTTCCACTCACTGAATTTGTGACAACCTTCTGGACATCAGGATGAGCTCAATCCATCTTTTCCCTCAGAACTTGAGCAGGCCACCAAATCTCTCTAAAATTCAGGTTCTAACCTGTTCCAAGGGACTAGATTTTAATAGTGGCAATGTCCCTTTTCCTGCTGAAATTACATGATTCCATCAATCTGCAGTAATCTTTAGCATTTTTCTCCTTTGGAAAATGATGTCAACACAAATAGAATGTGAACATTCCATAGGAATCAAGACAAAAGTTGTAAGGGGAGAAAACATGAATAGCTGTGTTTCTTCATTCTTATATGCCCTGGGAAAACCTATTTTTAAGGGTTAACGGGAGGATTCTGCCAACAGCTGAGAGGTAACAGGCCCATTCTCTAAAAGGATTACTAATGTCTATTTATAGAACCCAGCCAGCCACCATGTCCTGGATCAAGATACACACACTGTCACAAATACAGAATAGGCAGCAACACTCCACAGAGTATTTTTATAATATTTTATTTGATGCTGTCTTAAACTTTAAAGGAAACATTCATTTGTAGCTTAGAATTATTAGAGTACAATTAACATTTAGCATTAAGAGTTTATTTTAAGGAAAAGCATTATCACAGATTTTATTAAGTAGACTGTACATAAATGGGAGTGGTAATAAGCCAATAAACAACATCACTTTAAACAAAGTCCAGTTTACAGCAAATTATTTTCTACAGTACAAAATAAATAAAACACATTTGGAAAGATCACAGTATTTAGAATATTATAACAGCAGTTTTAAAAAACAGTAAGGTGCATCTCAAAGGTTCTGACTCAATCCTGCTTCTAAAGAGATTTCATTACACCATGCAGTGACATGAAGGGGAGGCAACACCAACTGACTTGCAGCACTTCCCCCTCTAGGATCAACTGATAACAAAAGCTAAAATCTGATGAGCATTTGCAAGTTGATCCTTGTCAGTCTGCACACCAGCTAACTTGCCCCAGTGACCATGTCTTTATATATTATCATTTGCCTTTTTATCCTTGAGAAAAATGTATATGTTTGAGCTTATGATTGCTAGTTTCCCTGTCAAATACACAAATGGATTTAAACTAAAGATCAATTTAATGTCACATACATATTGCATTATATTTTCTTGCTAGGACTGAAATACCATCATTTTAAAAAATATTATATGCACAATAATAGACTTATAGAAAGTGAGTTTTTTTAGTATAATAATATGTAACATACCAGAATATTTGAGGATTTGGTTTTCTTATAAAATACAGTATTACAACTTTTTGTGATATAGTAAAATATCTGACAGAATATTCTGCTCTATATTTAGACCTAATTGCTACAAATGTCTTTGAAAGTGCCTCACAGTACCTCTAAAGAAATATCTATAATAATAAAAGCGTAATATGCTAATTAGACCAGACAGCCAAATGACCTTCCAGACATCATTCCGGATGTTCTTCCGGACAAAGCCACAGTGGTGGGGGCTGAGGCAGAGGTGGTTAGGGGTGATCAGGCAGGCAGGTGAGCAGTTAGGGGCAATCAGGCAAGCAGAGTGGTTAGGGGCAATCAGGCAGGCAGGCGAGCAGTTAGGGGTGATCAGGCAGGCAGGCAGAGTGGTTAGGAGCCAGCGGTCCTGGATTGCGAGAGGGATGTCCGACTTCCAACATCCCCCAAGGGGTCCCTGATTGCGAGAGGGTGCAGGCCGGGCTGAGGGACCTCCTCCCATGCACAAGTTGCATGCACTGGGTCTCTAATACTAGTAATAATTAGCAAGAGGTCATAGAACCTATTTTTACACAAAGGCATTTTTTAATGTTTTTTTTTTAAATTGATTTCAGAGAGAAAAAGGAAGAGGGAGAGTGGGATGGAAACATCAATGATGAGAGAGAATCATTGATCAGTTGTCTCCTGCATGCCCCCTACTGGGGATCGAGTAGGAAATCTGGGCATGTGCCCTGACTGGGAATGGAACTGTGATCTCCTAGTTCATGGGTTGATGCTCAACCACTGAGCAACACAGGCCAGACAAGGCATTTTAAAAGAAGTCTCTTGATTTGTGTGCAAAACTTTCAAAATTTTAGTTATATACTACAGATAAATGGTGTTGGATTTAATACTGATGGAAATTAATACGATTTTTAAGGTAATAATAACTAATCTTTATTTTTGGTATTTTTTCATAATTTTATGTTTTTAACTCTGCCTTTGTGCTGAGACAAATCCACTTGCAAAAAGTACAATTTTATTAAAAATACTAATTTATTGAGAAGTTCTTCAAAGTTCAATAAACTTTAATATATGTATTAATTCCTAGATTAAGAATAAGCAATTGTATCCTATAGACAGATTATTCTTTGGTATTCCCCAAAATAATTAAGGAATTATACTAGTGTACTAGTAAATGTGAAATGTATCATTGGGAAGGTGAGCTGTTTTTCCCGCCAATGATAAAATTATATTTCTGTAAGTATTGTGAATTGTGCAAAAAATCTTTTTGGTGAAATAAATTCTATTCACTTGGGAAATGCACATTATGAAACTAACACATGGCGTTTGACTATTCCTGTATATGGCTTTGCAAAGTTTCTCCTAATCGTTGGATTCTACAAAATCCATTTTTTAAATGTTTGTTAATTTAGCGCCATTAAATCCATAAGATTAAAAAATCTGACTTCCTTTCCAAATACAGCTATCACAAATGTTCAAATTTGGGAAAGCTGATAACTTTTTAGAGAATGGACTGCCCTTACTTATCAGACAGATTCTAAAACCAAACTTTTGCTCTAAGAATGTTCCACTCCTGCTCCTGGAAAGTCTATATAAAACTGATGGTATACTTTGCATTTTCAAGAGCAAAGGGATTCTATAGTCTTAAGAAGACATCTATAATATTTAAATACTAAAGTCCTAAAAAAACAGACAAAACTGATTATTTAAATCAATCTTATTTAAATGCATCCACATATAAGATTACTAAAGTCATCTTGGACCAAATTCAGTAACAGAAGTTAATTTTTAATTGTTAGTGGCCACATAAAACAAAACGGGGGAGGAGGGGCAGCATCAGAGGTCCCATTAAAACAAAGGCAAAAAGATTGTTTGCTGAAGATTGACAGTTGTCAAGTATAGTCTATATCAGTGATGGCGAACCTATGACACGTGTGTCAGAGGTGAAACGCGAACTCATTTTTTTGGTTGATTTTTCCTTGTTAAATGGCATTTAAATATATAAAATAAATAACAAAAATATAAGTCTTTGTTTTACTATGGTTGCAAATATCAAAAAAATTCTATATGTGACATGGCACCAGAGTTAAGTTAGGGTTTTTCAAAATGCTGACACGCCGAATTCAAAAGGTTCTGCATCACTGGTCTATATCTTCTTCAAACTAATTGCTAAGTTACAGCTACTTCACACACTACAAAAACAGTACACATTAAAGCATTGTAAAGTAACACCACACACAAAATACAAAAAGAAAGCATCAGCAGGAATGATATTACTCTAGTTAAGAAACTGTATTCTGTGTTTACACACAGGTATACATATCCAGATGTTTCTCCCCTTACCTTTTTAGAGTGCTCATGCTTTCTTAAATGAGAGGAAGGTGTGTATTTAGGTACTTTTTGAAGATCAATACCCATGTGTAAGACATTAAAGCCATCTGCTGGTTTCAATTTAGTAGGAGGTTCCAGAACAAGAAGATATATGTATCTTGGTCCTAAGGTGATGCTGAATACAAAGACTAAGTAGAGAAGGCTCAAAAAAGAGTGGAGAAAGAGGAGAAGACACAAAATTTTTATTATTTGGAGATACTTGCGTCATTTTCCAAATTTTTTGTCCCAACCTCAGGTTTCTGTAAGAGCAAGATTTAGTAGGTTTAATACTCTGGCTCAGACCAATTGTTGTATCTTTAATGGGCCTGGAGGGGGGAGTAGGAGAAGGGGTTAAAACTCCTCTGTAGAAAATAAATAAGTATTATAAGCATATAAATGAACTAGGCCAGACTAGCCATGTTTTTATGGTGGTAGCTGGGCAACAGCACAATCAGGAGGTTGAACCTTACAGACACAGAACTCAATGACCTCAAACAGGTTTTTTTACCCAGTAGAGTTTTCTCTGAGTCTGTGTTATGTTAATACACCATATAAACCTCCAAAGTGGGGTAAAAGGATAGAACCTTCCTAACTTATTTAATCACAGAACCTGTTTTTCCACAGGTCAGCTCTTGGCACTCTGTTCCGCATTTGGCGAAACACTGAGGTACTCAAATAGAATTCAGTGTTCTGTTTACATTTTTTTTTTGTGACAACAAAAATATACATAAGCTGAAGTGGGACTACATCAAAATAAAAAGCTTCTGCACAGCAAAAGAAACCATCAACAAAACAAGAAAGCCCACTGCATGGGAGAACATATTTGCCAATGTTATCACCGATAAGGGTTTAATCTCCAACATTTATAGGGAACTCATACAACTTAACAAAAGGAAGATAA